GGCTCCACTGCTCTTGACATACACAAAAGACAAAAATTATGGCTAAGTATCTTTCCATGTTTTAGCCAAAGATTCAGACTCTCGTTTTACACGCTAGTGAGCAATTAGCCAGGCCCTAACGTGCATACATCGAAAGGCCTGTGTGTTTCGAAAGTCTGTGTGGCGAAGGGGGGGGTTCCTTTCGACGAGCAATTAGCCAGACACCTTTCGAAAACTGCCTTCGTTCGAAAGCCTGTGTGGCGAGCCTCATAGGGTGTAAAATGTTTTTCTGCATCTGTGTCCAAAACAGATTCACATTCAACACCTTCATCCAATCCGGGAGCGGTAGTGGGACCTCACACCCTCAGCATCATTCCAAAAACGAAAAAGATTGCGGGGGCGGCGGAATGCCTACGGCGTTTTTTTTTTTTTTTTTTTTTATTAATATATATCAGTTATTCTCTTTAGCACCAACGTATTCGTTCGGGCGAAACGTGCTGGGATTCGCGCGCACTTTCTCCTCTCACTACGGTGAAGGCCCTGCGCCGAGGTTCGAAATTCTTTCTTGTTTTTGCATTGAAGTGCAACAACACGTCGCTGCTGCCGCCTTCAGCTTTGCTCACTATGGTTCTCGCGTTTGCTGTGTCTACCATAGCTTCCTGCAACGAGGTGGGAAAGTAGTAAGAGAACAGGGGCAGTAGTAGAAGCACGAGGAGGAGGGAGTGGAGACAGAGAGGGAGGACTCCACCTTGTTCATGGTGGAAAGCTTCTTCCTACAACGACGACGACGATAAGTAGTAGTAGGACGACTCGGAGGAGCAGGGGGAAGTGGAGACAGAGAGGGAGGACTGCGCCCTCTTTATGGTGGAGAACTTTTTGACCATGCACTGTGTTGCAGGGCGCTGCAGAGGGTGAGGAGTACGCTGTGTGTGGAGAGCCTTTTGGATTCATATGCGAACCGAGACTTGCAACGAGGAGGACAAGCAAGAGTAAGACGAGGATGACGAAGAACAGGTAGGCTTTCTCCATTCTCTTCTGTCTATCTCGCCCTACCTCATTTCACAAATCCATGTATCAACTTTCATACAACATTCGACGGTCATATTTCATCACTGCATGTCGTACGACGTGCCCTTTTCCTCCTTACCTCCTCCTACTCCTCCTCGTCCTTACCTCCTCCTCCTTTTCCATCGCTTTGTTCCGGATCTCCTCCCTTTTCCCTTGTCTGAGTCCCTTCAGTGCCTTTCACCTCCATTGCTTTCCTATGTCCTCCTTGCCTTGTCCTCCTCCTTCTCCTGCTACTGTCAGCGCTAACGTGTGCGAGCGAATGCTTGGTAGAGCCATCGTGGATAAGCTCACCCCATCGTCTTTTTTTTTTTGTCTTTCTTTTTTTCTTTTTTTACGAGAGAGAGAGAGAGAGACACGATAAGTCTCCAACCTTGGCCAACAGCTAAGCCTCCAACCCGCGCCTCGCCGCACGCTACTTGGATCGATAGAACGAGCAAATCAAAAAGTGGCAGTGTATATTTCCACGTTTCAGTGGAAGATTCATTCCGTTTTTGCTCATCCTATCGATGGAATGTGTGTGTGTGTGTGTGTGTGTGTGTGTGTGAGAGAGAGAGAGACGATAAGTCTCCAACCGTGGCCTACAGCTAAGTCTCCAACCCGCGCCTCGCCGCACGCTACTTCGATCGATAGAACGAGCAAATCAAAAAGTGGCAGTGTATATTTCCACCTTTCGGCGGAAGATTCATTCCGTTTTTGCTCATCCTATCCATGGAATGTGTGTGTGTGTGTGTGTGTGTGAGAGAGAGAGAGAGAGAGAGAGAGAGACCTGCCAACGGAAATCACGGCAGAATGCTTCCCAGCCATCAGATCACAGATGATCTGATGGTGGTGGTTTCAACAACAGTGAAAATAAACTCGACTTCTGTCAGCAGTGATCCTGACACCCTCCATATACTTCGTGATTGAAGGACGGCTCTACCCAATGAGATAACTGCACAACAACAAGTAAAATACTGACAATCTTCTATCCAGTGGACCTATGGCCGACCCCACTCTCTCTTGGGGTTGGCCACACCTCAACCGATTGAAAAGATTCTGGCGAGAAGCTACCGATTGAAAAGATTCTGGCGAGAAGCTTTCTTTGCACGGGCATGCCCAGAAGAGCAGGGGAACAAAGATGTACTTACTTTTCATGAAATACATGTAAAATACTGACCGTGAGATCGCGAGTACTGCACGGCAGGATTTGGGTGACTCAACTGTCCCACTAACTCTGGTTGCTAGTGGACCATGCTTCTGGTCCATCATCTACATTCCAAGATCTAGACTACTTCTCACCTAACCACTGCAAAAAAAAAAAAGAAGATAAGGATGATAAGGATGTATGGAGAACACGAACACAAACAAAAACAAAGAAGATACTCGAACCTTTACCTTCTCTTTTAGTTCCTTGGGATTGTTCTGAGAAGCACTTGCTTTTGCAGTAGCTGTAGCTTTCAAGTATCCCAGGGTTGATCCTGAGTACCTTTGCTGAGTAACTGTCAAGTAACTGTAGGTTTTTGCTATTCTCAGAGGTGGTTCAGAGTAGCATTCGATACCATTCTTTTTTGCAAATTAGCTGTAACTTCTTTTCCAACTACTGAAAGCCGTGTTCATTATAACGGCAGTAAGGGAATCTATGTATTCAACACCAGGCATCGTAAAATATAAAATAAAATAAAAGGGGGGGGCGGGGAGGAGAAAAGGAATGAAAAATGTGTAAAAAAAAAAAAAAAAAAAAAAAAAAAAAATGGAGAAGGAAAGGGAAATAACGGAAGAGAAATAACGGAAGAAACTATAATCGTTATTTCAGTAGTAATTCCATTATCAAGTATTTTCTTCAATTTCTCTTCCGGTACCTTCTCCTCGTATTCATCATCTACCATCCCAACAGCTAGACAACTTCTCACCCAACCACTGTTAAAATAAAAAAAAAAAGGGAGTTTTATGGCSMAAGWRAAATACRARTAYTTTTAACGTTATTAAAAAAAAAAAAAAGGCCGAGCAAGTTTTTTTTTTTTTTTTTTTTTTTAACCWTTTKTTTTKTTTTTTTTACCTTYTATCCCAGAATACAACGCACGGTTTTTTAATTTTTAACTAGGAAGATTCTGACGACCGGCCGGTCCGGACCGGCCGGTCACCCGGGCGTCATGCCCGGGCAGGTCCGACGACCGGGTCACCCGGTCGTGTGAAAATATAGCCTTTTTTTTTTTTTTTTTTTCGGTCCAGGGGGTTGTTCTGCGCATTGGGAGATGAGCACGAATCCGGGGTCATTTCGAATTTTGGGGATTTTGGGATTTGGGGGGGGGTGTTCCTCCTACTTTCTCCTGCTTCGTCTTCCTCCTACTTTCTCCCTTCGTCTTCCTCCTACCTCTCTCTCTCTCTTCTCGCCACCTCTCTCTCTCTCTCTCTCTCTCTCTCTCTCTCTCTCTCTCTCTCTCTCTGTGTGTCGAGATTCGCCCCGCCCGCCAGTCCTTGCGTGTCGGGATTTCCCGTGCGTGTCACTAGTTGCGCGTCAGTCCCGACTTTTTTTTTTTTTGGGCCGCGCGCGGCAACATTCGGCATCGGGAGCCTTCTCGAAGAAGAAGAAGAAGTAGAAGACGGAGAAGGAAGAAAGAGAGAAGAAAAAGAAGAAGAAGAAGAAGAAGAAAAAAGAAAGACGACGAAGAAGGAGAAGAAGAAGAAAAAGAAGAAAGAAAGTCGACGAAGAAGAAATGAGGACAAAGAAGTAGAAGAGGAAGATATGAGAAGAAGAGATGACGAAGAAGATGAAGAAGAAGAAGAAGAAGAAGAAGAAGAAGAAGAAAGAAAGATGTACAAGAAGTAGAAGATGAAGATATGAGAAGAAGAAGAAAACGGACTGACGAAGAAGTAGATGAAGGTGTGAACAAGAAGATGAATAGGGAGGAGGAGGAGGAGGGAGAGGGGGTGTCGTTGGCCACGCGGAAGCTGCCCGAACGGGCAGTGAGGAGGTGCGGCCTCTCTCTCTCTCTCTCTCACACACAAACACACACACACACACACACACACACACACACACACACACAAACACGACGACGATGATGACCAAGAAGAAGAAGAAGAAGAAGAAGAAGAAGAAGAAGAAGAAGAAGAAACGGACTACTTACCTTGCGGGCTGCGGGAACGCGATGGCGGGCTGTGGAAGGGCACAGCGGCAGGGCACGACGACACGGAACAGCGGGGCCTACGACCTCGTCGAAGCAAAATTTGCCCGCTCGATTTCGACACGGCATTCGGGATCTGCCCGCGTGCGAAATCGCGCGGGGAAACACTTTCAAATCCGGCGATGGCGATTTCTGGCTGTCGATCTTCAAGATCGACGACCAGAAATCGCCTTGATTTGAAAGAGCTCCCAGCACCCGGTAGGTACCGGGAATTTTTTTTTTTTGGCGGCGTCAGGGGTTCTTCGAGGCAGCTTCAACCCCCCAGTGCCCGAAATCGAAAAAAAAAAAAATTCGCGGGTCGGCGCATTTCAGGCCCGGGGGCCCGACCGGGTGTTCCGACCGGCCGGTCACCCCGTCGTCAAACCGGGCGTGGCATCGGGACCCGGGCGCCTGGGATTTCGCCCTAGATTTTTAACCATTTGTTTTTTTTTTTCTACCTTCTTTCCCCGAGCAAGGTTTGTTTTTTCTACCTTCTTTCCCCGAATACAACGCACGGTCATTATAGTTGTATTTAGACTGAAACATAGTCTAAATACAACTATAAATGACCGTATGCTGTATTCGGGGGAAGAAGGTAGTCGACGGTCAGAACTGCGTCGATTTCGATTTCGTGATCCCCGACGATAAAGAAAAAAGGGGTCTTTTCATAAAAAGTAAAAAAATAAAACCAAAGGGGTCGCGATCTTTCTAATCGACGTTCAGGCTCGTGTTCAGTTTTGTACTCCAGGGTGAGAAATGAATCGATCTTCATAATCCACGATCGACGGTCACAAATGCGTCGTTCTACCTAACAGCGGCCGTTGATCTGCGTTGATTGTCCTAGAGGGCGGGAGCTACTAGGGCGATGGTTGTTAAAAAAAAAAAAAAAAAAAAAAACCTACTAGGGCGCTTTTGCGGTTTTAGTTTGAAAATACGTTTGAGTCGCGATTGCGCGAATGTTGTGTCAAACCGACAAAATCGCGAATGTATACAACCTAGCTTTAGGGTTGGGTGGGATGTGTTGTATTCGAGGGATGCGGGAAGTGGATTTTAAACTCAAATCGTGACTGCGCCCTACTTGTGCTTTTTTTTTTTTTTTTTTTTTTTTTTTTTTTGAGAATTGAATCGCTTGATTTTTATTCATATTCTCCCAGTGGAGTTGAACACAGGTGTGTATTTCAACAGTTCAGGGGCCAAGTCTCATTTCGGTAGCAGCGTTGACGGTAGCAGCGTTGAGTTTCCTCAACGCAGGAATGTGGACGTGTTTGTGGAGATGTGCAGAAATAGCGTTGAGTTTGCTCCTCGGCACCTCTCCAAAAAACACGTCCAGATTCGGGCGTTGAGGAAACTCAACGCTGCTAGTGGGAATTGGCCCCAGGGGTGTCCCAGCTGAGCTGAGCTGGGCCAGTTGGTTATACTTTAGAGAGTAGAGTAGCATGGCCCCTGCGCCAGGAAGACCGAGAAATGTTCCAAAATTTTGGGTAACCGTACTGAAAACAATAACAAAACAAGAAACAAGAAATGCAAGTAATAGACAGACAGACTGCTCATATCGCCAGCTGATGTTCATTTAAAAAAAAGGAAAATTGCATCTGTGCCCGAGTTAAAGATGGGAATATCTGTCCTTCGGGACATCCGTTAGAATTGGAACTATACAGAGAAGATTAGCATGGCCCCTGCACAAGGATGACACGCATAAATCAAGACATGGTCCGAATTAAAAAAAAAGAATAGAAAAGAAAAGAAAGAAAAAAATGGGAATATCTGCTACAACCCGTCACCTCGGAGTTGAGGAGCACTACC